ACATACATACATACATACATACATACATACATACATACATACATACATACATACATACATACATACATACATACATACATACATACATACATACATACATACATACATACATACATACATACATACATACATACATACATTAGACAAACACACACACACACATGTATGTACAAGGGACAACCCTTATCCCTGAGGGGACGCCTTACAAATTATGGAGGAGACTAGTGGAGGAACAACGAAGCCTGGGAAGATTGGAAGCCAAGAAAGCAACTTACTAGCCATTGTTGGAGAGTAAGTAGAACCATGTTAGTTATAAAAATCCAAGGAGGGAAGCTAAGTTAGCGGTTACGGCGGCTAAAACTGTAGCTTTTGAACAATTAAATAAGGATCTAAAGCAGATTTGTCACTTCCAAATCTTCAGAAAAAATATTATGGGCTATTTTGAAGGATTTTCAAGATTATGGTGGTTGTAAGAAGCTAAAGGAAACATTCATATATCATTTTATAATTAATTGTCATTTTATGGTCATTAAAGAACATGATGGGATATTTCTTGTGATTTAAAAAATCTGAATGTATTGAATTTGGATTTTACAAATTCTATCTAAATCTAAGGATAATCAACACTTCATGATTTTTTAAAGATTTGTATTCTACATGGATTTTAATGGATTTGAAAGTAGAAATTATAATAAAAAGTCTCTAAACAAATCCCTGCTCCCAACCAAAGATTTTAAAATCCCAACTCCGATCCTCTCATCTCTTCCGTGGGCACCACATCTCAAGTTCGCCACTGATGGTGACGGCGGCAGCGCTGATGGTGTCTGCCGGCGGAGGAGCACGAGGAAGAGTGGCAGCAGTTGGGGCAGGAAGTGACGCAGATCGAACATCTTATTCATCACTGAGATCGACCATCTTCTTCATCACTCAGTTATATCTACAAATTCTTCAAAATATTACAGATGAAATCATAATTCTGTTTTGGACTCAGTACAGAAGAGCTCAAATAATTTGGGGTGAAGATACAACAAGTGGGTCAAACGTCAAAGAACAAAAGCAAAAGATGGAAATGCCCCTGTATTTCTCCGTCATGTTCCATAGCTCCAGAGACTGCAACAAAGAGAGGGGAAATTGGAAATCACACTGCAAAGGGTCTCTTGTTCTTATGGAAGTGACGCAGACCTTCATCACTCAAAATTTGCTGATTTGGGGACTCTCTGCTTTGTGGTTGCTTCGTGGTGACGGGCAGACATGGAATAGACATAAATTACTTCTCTTAATTAATTACTTCCTCGGTCCTAAAACAGTCTTCCTGATTTGAACCGGGCTCATTTTTACACTATGTTTGGTTCAAGGAATTTGAGAGGGAAAGGAAAAGAAAATGAGAAGGAAAACATTTGTCTTGTTTGGTTAGAGAGGAAAAGAAGAGAAAAGTGGAAGGAAAAGAAAATGAGAAAGCAAAAAATACTAAGGAGAGGGAAAACCAAATTCCTCCCATTTTGGTGAGGAAAATGAGGGAAAACTTTTTTCTTTTTTTTTCCTTTCAAATTCCTTGAGCCAGACATAGTGTTAGTGCAGTGTAAAAATTATGCAAACTTTCATAGAATGCCTCTTGTACTTCATCTGCACAACCATTTGAATATCAAACAATTTAACTTCATTTCCAAAAGTTAGCTTTGGATCCTTAAATTAATTCATAGCCACCAGATTTTAACACTTTGGATCCTAGGATTTTAGACGGATTTGTGCATGTGCTTTGTGAGAGCCCAGTTTTGAGATCCCACCGGAGCCCAGAGGTCACCAATCTTCATTGGTGCTCATTTACCGTTGCTGAAGCTCTCTCCCCTTGGATCTGTTGATGAATCTCTGGGGGAACGCCCCCTTGCCGCGTCATTCCATCAAAGAAGAGGAAGAGGCGAATGGAGAGACAAAGGGAGAATAGAGAAAACTGGAGAGAAAACGAAGAGTAAAAGAGAATTGAACAGAAGATGGAGGGAAAGAGAGAATGGGAGAAAAAATGGCGAGGAGGACCAAATGGAGAGACGATAGAATTCAAGGGAAAATGTGACTTTTACTACTCATCTATTTGCCATTTATGGAAATGGCAAGGAAGTTTAAGGATGACCAAAAAGGAAAGTGACAAAAATGTTTAAGGATGGAAGGACTAGTAAAATCACATCTATCATGTTGATACGGAAAAGGTAGAAAGGAACGCGAGGAAGATTGAGAATTCATGTGAATCATGAATCATCCGAATCAACGAGTTGGACAGTGGGATCGGCTAAGATCGCGATTGACGGAAACAACT